CAAAAACTGCAGTTCATCAAATTGCCACCTGAGGCTGGCTCCAGAAACCAGTCAAACCCCACAGGCCCCTTATGTTAAACTGCCAAAATTTACAGCAGAAATAAACATGTTTACAGCCTGGTACAAAAACAGTTTGGGCCTAGCTAATATATAGTTCATGACAACTGTAGCTGGGGTGAATTTTTATATAACTCATCAAGGCTTAAAGTTTTGTATAATTAAGGGCATGGCTGCTTAGAGTGACAAGCTGTTTACAAGGTGTCACATTGGGCTCTAAGTCAGATCCACCCCTCACTCCTCCACAGCTCCACTCTCTTGTCCAAATATATGTCCAAAAATATGGGTACCTCAGGTCACTCAGGCTCCTAAAAAGTGTGCCAGGCTTTGAAGACAATTTGAGTGGTAGTCGTGTCATCATGTGATGCCCTGTGGCCCAAAAAGATTTTTTCCCATAAAATTACATTATTAGGGAAACGTCAGTGGATACATTACTTTGAGCGTCACAACCCCTGTGAAATGATTCATTTCCCTATCAGAATTCCATTCAGTCTATTAACATTTGGAAAGTCTAGAAGAGCTGCACAGTTCAATCATTTTGTCCCAGTCCCAGTTAGCGGAGCGCTTAACTGAAAGTCTGTAGAAGTCTCTAGTGTGCCTGCTGCAGTGGAACTTTTTTGGCATCATGCACAACTGAGCAACTTTTAACAGGGCCCTGCTTCCAACGCTGTATCCAGTTCTCTTTATACATCCATGGGGTCACCTCCAGCTCCAAAAATCCAAAATGGCAACAGCAAAAATGCCAAACTCAAGGCTTCAAAAAGGGAGTCCCCGTTCATGAAAACTGCCTGGGGATTTGATTTTTATATAACTCATGCAATGTTATTAAGCCTTAAAGCTACGCATAATTAAGGACGGGTCGCTTTGAAAAACAGGCCGTCTGCCGATAGTGTCTACGGCTTCTCAGTCACACCCATCGCTCCTCCACAGTGCCAGCCTCTCACCCAAATATTGTCACTTCTGTCTCCAAAAACCAAACAGGAGTCACAAACCAATGGGTGAGGTCAAGGTAGCTACGTCCATTATTTTTAACAGTCTATGCTAATTATCAGCAGAACTAATAAAACTCCCATCATCTTCAGCTACAATTTGAGTTAATAATATAAGTGTGAATTAGCAAATATTGACATGCTCACACAGTGAATAGAGAGGGTTAACATGATAAACATTATACCTGCTAAACATCCGCATATTTGCATTGGCATTGTGAGCATGCTAGCATATTGACATTTCTTCTTTAGCCATCACATCTTGTCAAAAAAATGTGACTATCCTTTTAAGAGTACAGCTCCAGGGGAAACAATGACAGTGCCATGACAACTGGGCAACTCCCTCTGCTTCAGAAGATCATGTAAGATAATTAGAAGCTCCAGAGTGGTGTATAAATATACCTTATGGTTAGATTATTTTGTCAACTGCTGTTTCCAAGGTGAGGAATGAACTCAGTCTTAAAGACAAGTCTCTGACTTTAGTTTGGAAATATTGGTGCCAGTGTGTGGCCTTCAAGCGCACATTAAAGTCAAACACCAGTCAGGACATCCTTCAGGTTGTGGAGGACTTAGTGACAAAGTCTAAGAGGAGGAAAAGGAAGAAGCACCGTGCAGTTTGGCACACTGACCTATTGATGTGGACCTGGTGCAGGTGAAAGATAGGTACAAACCAGATTACAGCCACACGGAGAGTCACAGGGAGAGAGATTAGTGGGCATTTGAAAGGGGAGAAGGGAGAGGATTTAGCAGGATGAGGGAGAGGAGAGGAGAGAGGATTATGGAAGCCAGAGCCTGGATCCTAAAATAATCCTCTCAGTATACTGGGCTTTATGCGCCATGGGGCAGAGGCCAGCTTGAGCTATTAAATTGCCGTTGCATTCATGCGCCGCAGTTTGAACGTGCAGAAAACACTTCCGAATGTGTGATCATCACCATCATCACCACCTCTGTTGGAGGTGTTTGATTTCTCCTTGAGTTTCTTTCTCTGTGGTGCAACAAACACACAGAAATACACAGAGTGCACACACACACACACACACACACACAGCAGCAGGAGCGTTCATTCCATCTGCCTTAATCTGGAAAGCTGGTTGGGAGCTACATGCCTGTATTCGAAGCTCTAAGCACCTCCTTCTTTCCATGCTCCATGTTCTAATTTGGGTATTGCCATGGTTACATAAGATTCAGGGTCAGGGGGTCAGTGACGTTGCAGGCAAACACCGGATGGATGTGTGGCTGCTTCATGGCGACAGAGGGACATAATATAACCAGAGAAAGACGGCATGAGGATCAGGAAGGAAACCATCAGACTGACAAAACCACCTAAATGGGAGGAAAAGGAAGTTTACAACCAGAGAATATAATAAAGCAAAACACTCTACTTACTGAGCTTTTCCCAGCATTGTGCTTTTAAAACATGCATTCAGGAAGAGGCAAATGCTTCTTTGCATGAATGTTGTAATGTTTTTTTTTTTATTTGAGCAATTGCATAAGTGGGGCAAGCAGGTCCTATGGAGATGTAGAGAAAAAAGACTGTATACACAAGCATGTATGAACAATGGAGAGAGCTGAGAACATAAAGCATGCATAGGTGGAGCTGAGGGACTGTATATAAAAGTATGAGCTTTGATATGATTCAGAACAAAAGTGTCCACGGTGGGAAAAAAAAAGGGCAGAAAGACAAGGTGGAGACTCACCACGCATGCACACAAGAAAGCCGGGAGAGGGAGGGGTGTGAAAGCTCTGTGTTGCTCCACTAACCTACTTACCATAATCTCTCTCTTCTCCTCATTTCATAACTGTGCCTGAGTTACATGATACACTCGTCATCTTCCCCACGCTTACAAATCAATTATTTTCATCGGCACTGTCATTAATGGCTTTTGTTTGCGTTGTTGCATGTTTGTGGTCAGAGGGTGTTTCTGCTTTATTTCTTCTATACACACACCCACATTTCAAAGGTAAGCGACAGGGGAAAAAATGTACCCGGTGAACTCTAATAAACTAAAGATAGACATACTGTACATGCATGCACACACACACATGCACACATTCATGCGGTACATAGGGTACATGCATACATACAGTTCATACATACATTCACACAGTTCATACGGTACATGCAAACTTACATGCATTCACACAGGTGTACTTTTGCTCTGTGAGGCATGTTACATTTACATGAGATTTGTATAAAACCCTGAATATTGTGTTTAATTAAGCACTGCATGTAATTCATTTTACCACATTCTCAGGTTAAAAGCTGTCCGCTCTGTGCTTTGAAAATTATACTAAATGTACCCTGGATTGCAACATTTCAGGAAATGGAAAACAAAACAAAAGACAGCACACAGCACAACAACCTGTGGTCACACTTAATTCCTCTACGAAGATTAGTGTTTGCTAATCCGGTGATATAATGCAGGGTTCTACACTGTTACAGCCAGCTCGGAGAGAAGAACTGAGGACATGAAAGTGTCTCTTATAAACGCTAATTAATTAACCAAAAAATAAGTACGACACACAGCAAATTTATCTCATATTATGTCCTGTGGAGAATCCTCTTTTTGTTTTATTTGTAGAATAATTGGACATAACTTTGGTCCATTGTTGTATGGATGTTTGTCTGTTTCATATTCTCTAATGTGCTACAGTGGCAGGCCTAACAATCCAACATGTTCACACTTTATATTCTCTGTTGAAAGTGGCAGAAAAAATGTCTTTTAGTTTTAGTGCAACCTATGGAAACAAAATAAAGGTCATATGAGGGAAATAAGGGAACTAAAATGCACAATCATTAACTGTGTTGAATCAACAGCTGATCATATTGTGTCCATCTAAAGGTGATATTAGTGGTTAAACCACAGATTTTACAGTGTCATGGTCAGTGGTGTATGGTGGTTACAACGGGCCCAAGTGCACACTATCATGCACGTATCGTCTCGCCACATGATCAGAGACTTGACATTGGATAACATCAACATATATATTACCCAGCAATCATCACTGCATATCTGTATATGACAAAAAATACCAGAGATAGTAAGAAATGATCAATTTAGTTGAACAATTTTATATATATATTATATATATATAGTTCTAGAGTTCTTCTTTGAACACAGGAGTATTTCCAAGGTGGAAATCACTCATAAGGGCCCAATCTCCACCCGACATATTGTTGGAGGGCCCACTCTCTCTATGGCCCCCTACTTCATGGGGCCCCAGTGCAACCACACTGCCTGCATCATCTATATTTCTATATTTACGCCCCTGGTCATGGTACAATAAAGTAGTCTTATCCAAATATATCACATATACTTTCCATAGTCAAATTCTGGCCACTGGTTGACGTGAACTTCAGTGGACTATGTAATAAAAATCAGTTTCCAGATACTGGAAGAAATTGTCAAATATATTAACACCACACCTCATGCTTAGAGCTAGATTTTTGTTGTTGTTGTTGTATAATATAGACTATATGTGTGTACTTTCACCTGCATTATCATAACTTCCTGATACTATAACTAACATTAAATACAAGAAAGCTTCTTTTAAGCCAGCTGGTCTCTGCTGTTGATTTCCATGTGGTTTATTGTGTATAGAAACATGCAAAAACACCCATATGAACCTTTAAGTCTGTTTACAAATATCCAGTCTAATAAAATATAGCCTCTACATTGAGGGTTGTCGTGGAGATATTTTATTTATCTATAATTTTAAATGTAGCCTATCTCAGTTCATTTTGATTGAGGAAGAAAAATAAAACACTGCGGCTGGCTATTAGAGGTAAATGATCTGCACCGATATAAAACTGCGCTCTTGTTATTAAATAGTTCCCAAGCTGTTTGAGCGTCGGTCTGAACTGACACACTGCCACACTTTCCCACGCACGCGAGAACCTCCTTAAAGCGCGCGGAGGGTGGCGCGCGCGCGCGTCAGATCACGGGGCACGAGGCGGGCGGACCGCGGGGTGAGGATCATGTGTAGTCCACGCGCCGAAACTAGGTTACAGCGAGCGCAGAGCAGGAGGACACAGAGCTGTGCGAGGAGACGAGGAGCTGCTGCTGCTGTGTTACCGTGTCGCTGTTTCACCACTACTGTACCTCTGAGACTGCGCGGACCTGACGCGAAGTAAATAACTTACAAACACACCGTTGCTTTAATTTATAATTAACGTCGGCGCGTGCGAAGAAAAAGTCAGAAAATCCATATGAGGATTTGCTGTTGTGACAGTTTTCAGCTGCTCCGGTTTGGAGCAAATAAGTGCGCGTTGCTCTCACTGTTTCTTGGCTTCGTTTCCACCTGGAGTTGCATGAGTTGAAGAGTTGGACAGACTTCACCGCCGACATGAGAGGTGAGTTTGGTTACGTTACTTTTTCCCAGAATGTATTTTTTAACAGCTGGTGTTTATAAATAACTTTTGCATTTAGCGTGATAGAGCACTGCTGTGAGACTGAGTCCAAAGTGCGTAGGCTGCAGGCTCGCGCTAGAATAAACACCTGATTACATCATAGGGGGAAATAAAATAAAATGTTAGGCTGAATGTAAAATTACCACCTCTCTGTCCATGAAAATTGCTTGCACAATGTTAAAGGTAAATAAGCACATTACAAGATCTTTAGACATTTATTTAAATTATAGCACATACATGTATAAATGCTTAATTCTAAATGTGAATGTGTTCAGTGTGGTTTTATAAACTGTCATGGTTTTGTGCATGTATTTTGAGAAGAGGAGTTATGCGCTGTGGCTGTGTATAACTTTATTTGACCGGTGACTCCAGTTATGTAAGAGAGAGGGGAGGGAGGGAGTGAGCGGAGTGATTCAGAGGCTGTCAAAGCGAGCGAAAATCTGCTGGCAGGGGTTGTTTATGGTGAATAAGTAGTCCCCACTTTATCAGATTATCCTCATTTTTTTCCATTTGGTGGATTTTATTACGCTTTTGTTCCACTTCTGTGTGCTCCAACCATTAGTTTTCCATTTTAATGCACTCTGCTGGCATTTTTAAATTTAATTTTCAGTGATGTTTTAATGTGTCTCAGAGCACTGATGGTATGTTGGTCTGTGTTTTACTGTTACAGTTGGTTCATCAGCCAACGTGTTTTTGTTTTCAGCGTCAGCAGTATGGCGGCCGTTGTAAGGAGGTGCGGGAGGGAGGGAGGAGGGAGGGAGAGATAGAAAGGAGGTGCTCCATTGACCTAGTTCTGTCATTGAGGATTACAGTGTGTGTGTGTGTGTCTTTGTGTGTGTGCGTGTGCCAGTGGGTGGAGGGCCATGGTCTGTCGTCATTACTGATGAGATAATGTTGATAATGATAAATGACAAAAGCTGCACTGGAAGAGCCAGATTTTAATGCACCTTGCAAGATGCATGCTGCATTTTATTCTACGTTTTTTTTTATCATTTTTTAGTAAAAAGAAAAAAAACATTAGTTTTATACTATTTGGCAAATATTTAAGAAGATTAACTTTATTGTCAAGCTTTGACAAGGCTCAACATAAAATAATATGCATTTAAAACACAAAAAACAACACACAAACATACATAAAACATGACTATATTACTGTATTTATATATGAAATCTTACAACAAGTATCTGTTGATTTAAAGTAAAATACTTCTATTAAGATTCAACAGGCCACAGTTGTTCTGTGGATGTTGTTCTGTTGTGATGTCAACACCACGCACCGCTGCAACAAGCAGGATATGAGCACAGCAAGCCCACATAACCATGAAGCACAGCAGGGTTGAGTTAAGATCAGTTTCCTCTGTTAGCTAAGGTTATCAGCCAGAATGTGTGTCACTCAAGTCAAGCATGGCTTCTCAATCTGATTTCGTAAAAACGCCACATTACCCACAATATCACAAGAGCGTGAATATCACAAGCCGTGTGCAGATGTAATATTTCTGAGTCACCTTCATACCTGGAGGATCGCAAACAATGCTGTTGCACTTGTTTGTCTGTCTGAGAGTTATTGTAAACCATTGCACAAACAGGTTAGGTAGGTATAGTATTATGCAACAAGATCTAATAGACAAACTTCTATAAAGCACTTATTTTACATCTCAGTGGGCTGATGCTGTGCAGAGCTGAGGTGTTACAAGACTGTGCTGGAGCTCAGTTAGTCCAGGATCAAAGGTAGGGTGGCAGTAAAGAGGAGAGGGCGCTCTCTGAGCTCCAAGTCTGCTGCTGTGCCGAGCTCTGCCTCAAAGACACTATCTGTTGCAGCCTTGGGGAAGTTCACAGCGAACTACAGTATGTGTCAAGGTGCCCCTTCTCTCTGACAACTGCACGCTAAGATTCCTTTCCCCTTATCTAAAGCTTTCACTCTTCACCCAGCCTGCATGTTAGTATTAAAGCAAAATGTTAGGTAGTGCTGTTTATGTAGATTTTGTTTCATTTATATAAAATATTTTAGTAACACAGCTCACTTTGCAGCACAGTTATGTACACAATGATTACACACAAATAATATTTTCCTTTGCGGTATCCTAAGTCATTTCGATAGGCCATATCTTTGCTCCACGTACGCCAGATGATAAGTGACATCTAAACAGACCCGAAGAGACTTGAATTCAAGGCGACTGCGATTGCTGCAGTATAGTCCTAAATTTGTTCCTGTGGTTTGGAACAGCATGCAAAATTACATGCTGTGCACTGAATTCCTCCGTCTGGTTTTGCTTGTGTTGCAGAGGCCCACTTGGGTTTTGGGCTCGGAGCTGCATAAACAGCCCGATCAAGTGAATGCACTTTATCTCCTCTGATCAATGGTGAGGAATTACAGAGGCACAGAGTGTGAAGCCTGGCTTCTTGGCAGGCATGGCAGTGTTGTTTGGTAATCCATAGCATAAAGCAAAGGGGGGAAAATAGAAAGGGAAATATAAAAAGTGGAAACTGCACAAAGTGGGGAAAAAATGTGTTTCGGGATATCTTCACCTGGCAGGGTCGACAGCTGTACTGCTGAGCTCCTTTTTAGGATGTGTGCTGATGGAAGTACAATTAATATTCTATTCCTTTGAACTGCCAGGAAAGTAATAGTTCTTACAGCATTATGCTGACTGTATTACAGAAAAATGGAAGAAAATTATTCCAGTCACAAGGAAGGAGAAAACACCTGAAATGCCCCACAGACTGTTTCTATTCAGTGTTACTCTCCTGCTGTCAAAACCCATCAGCAAGGGCTGCAGTTAAAAGCATACCTGCTGCAGGCCTGTGCGATGGACTCGGTGTACACGTATACCTCTCATTCCACTACTGTCACATCTGCTGAGTAATTACTTGAACCTGTGGTGCATTTTTAAAGAGACTGGGGTTAGTGTCAGGCCATATTATACTATCTGTGTTCTCTAGGTAGGTCAGCGGGAGGAAAAGAAGAAGAGGAAAAGCAGCCATTACTGTCCACATACAGTATCTGCAGGCTATAGAACACATGTGGTAGCTGAGGCCCTGAATTGGGAGATACTGTGTGTAGGAAAGGAGATGTCAGACAGAGGACATTAGTTGATATTCGTGGAAATAGCTGCCAACTTTGACTTTGCATGCCCCCTCTGTTGGAAACCCGATTGTACAGTGTGTTACACAATACACCATATATGCTGTTGTTCCTATAGAGGCCCCTCAGCCCCTCCGAATGTAGGTTAAGTATACAGTATGTCAGGTAAATGCAGACTGCAAGGTAAATAGGACCTTGGACTGTGTTTGATTAGGTGGGATGAGAGAGCAAAGTCCCAGAGGTTTTACAGCAATGATGGAGAAAATTGCTGAAGAAAAGACACTGACACACTGACACAGAAAGGAGTTTTAAATCGCCACATGTAGAGACTGAGTTTAAAAGCTCTCCTGTGTGAAAAGACGCTTCTTTGCAGTGTAGGAAATGGAATACAATTTATGATAGGAGGGATTTGTACACCAGACATTTATATATACAGTTATCTACATTTATATACATGTACTTAATATTGCTTCAGCTTCGTTTAGACTTAAAAGCTAGTGTCTATTATATAATTCAAAAATTTCAGCTACATTTTATCTACAGTCAATAGATTTTTGTGTAGCCTTTAACACATGCCAACAGCATTTAAGCACACAGAATGAGTGTTTTCCTTGTTTGTGTAAGTACAGGCTGTCTCAGAACAGAGATACGAGGAACTGCTCTAAATAAACTCAGATGAGAATAAAGAAACCGTTGTTCAGGCCCATACTGCAACACAACATACCGAAAAGTGAATGGCCGCAGAGTAGACTGGTTTAGCTGTAGGTGGCGACTCTATTAACTGCTTTAGACACTGTTATTTATACTAAACAGTGCACACTTCTGTGCTGAGGTGTGATTTGTGCAACATGTATTTGCCAATAGTCCAGGATGGCAGGAGGAATCTCTGTGCTGCCAACTGCACCGGAGTAAAAATAGATTTATGGTGTAGCTGAAACACAGCTGAAATTTCACTCAAATACTTGACATGCTGCGACAAGTTGAGAGCCACTATTAGCTGTGTGTGTTGCCCCCGCTCCAGCTTACTGTATAGATGTTTGGGGAAATATTTCCAGATGTTACGCATGCTGTAAAAGGGGGGCAGGTTGTGTATGCCAGTTTCAACTGCTCATCCATCTTTGGGTGAAACCTTACATTGTTTTGCTTCCAAACCAAAAGCAGGGCTCCGCCTTTCTTTAATTTAAAGACTGAGTCAGATTGGGTTCCACCTTAAAACCTGCAAGAAACCAGATTGTGTTCCTTGTGAGGCTGCCACCACAAGCGCCTCCCCCTTTTTGCTGAATGAGAAACTGTGTCAGTGGAGCAGCTCCTGCTCTCTGGGCCTGACGGTGCAGCTCAGCTGACTGGCAGGTGAGGTGGCGACTCACAGACAAAGCCGCTCACTCAGCAGCCAATGGTAGCGCAGGAGGGTGAGGGAGGATCGTCACACCGTTGCTAAGACAACCACCTTTGAATGAGTGTGTTCATGGAATGCGGCCAGACGGCAGTTATATAACAGGCTGAAGGGCGGGGGGAGGCTCCGGAGAGGGAGCGATAAAGGGAGCAATAGAAAGGGATTTTTTTCCATTGGCCTTTATTTATTTATATCCTCCAGTTGCGTCGGCCCAGTAGGAATGATACCCAACAGAAACAGTCACCTGCACTGCACAGAAAGTCTTTGTGGAGGGGGAAATGTTGAATTATATTTTTTCTAAGTTGTGATTTTCAGGGTAGTCGTTAACCTCTTTTGATTTCCTTGTGTGACGCATATCCCTCCCCACGCATAGTGACTCATGTGATTGGTTGGTCGTGAGTAGTTTATCAAAGAGCCCTTAGAAAACAGCAATTTTCTGAAGAGCTGTGATGGCCAGTTAAAGCTGTTGCTGCGATTTACAGGTTACCTAATACCCTCTGTGACCCAACAAAAGTGGTTTGGGGATTGTTTGGTACACCCTGCTGCCCGAGCCAAATCAAATCTTTCACACAGTCTACACAGCAGCAGTCAGTTGCAGTTATTTTGCGGGTTACAATTGTAGGCCTTGGAGGGTTCAGCACAGCATAAGTCTTTGTTAACCTGCTAACATTTTGCTCATAGTGGAGGAGGAGCGACATAGAGAGAGAAAGAGAGAGAGAGGGCTGTGAAACTTTATAACCCTGGGCCTCAGCTAATGCAATTGACCTGCTATTCTGGGCTCGAGGAGGCCCAGCTACTTAGATAAACAACATAATGAAAAGAACAGACTGTTCCTGAGTAAGAAGGCTCAGTCTTCCACAATGAACTCAAGGTGCATAATGTTTACGCAGTGTACTTTATCACAGGATCCACTGTACAATCCACTTAGCTACATTTCAAACCTTGTAACGCAAACAACAACATTTGACTGTCAAGAAATAACTGGGAAAGTCAAGTGATTCTTCCTGTACCAACACCTGTCACACGCATAAATATTTGAATAAAAAAGATTGTCTAGAATAAATATTGATTTATTATAGTGCCAACATTTGATATGACTGAGGTGTTGGTTTGACAGTAACGGCAGTCAGCATACACCTAAAAGAAGATATTCCAGCAACTTGTCTTTATCGCAATGCTTCTGGACAGTGACGAAAGATGTTTGCCTGTTACATATTTATGGGCTGGGTTTTCTGAATATGTTTATGTAGATGCCAATCATGCAACAACTGCAATAGATAAAATCTCCTCACGTGCAGTTAGGGCTGCACAATTTTATCATGTTTATTATCTTCATTGCATTGTAAACTTGTACGATAAACACATTTCAAAAGACTGCAATATTTTTAGCAATCATCACTAAAAACTGCACTTTAAAATGTAACTATCAGTCTTTTTTTCCATTAGTGCCTTTTGTGTTCAGTTCAACGTTCAATTTGTTCAATTAAATAATGTTAGAAATAATTTCCTTTAATTTTTTAATTCAGCAACAAACAATTTGTTGTGCTTTAGCAATTTACTGAAGGCAGCAGAAAACTGAATACACTTTAACATCCATTTATTTATTGCAAGTAATATCATTAAAGTCGTATTCAACAATCACATCACGTCACATCTTCTAACAGCTTCATCCTCTTGAGGGCTGGAGCGTATCCCATCTGACATTGGGTGAGAGGCAGAGTACACCCTGGACAGGTCGCCAGACTGTCGCAGGGCTGACAGACAACCATTCACACTCACATTCACATTCACACCTACGGACAATTTAGAGTCACCAATTAACCTAATCCCCAATCTGCATGTCTTTGGACTGTGGGAGGAAGCCAGAGTGCCTGGAGAGAACCCACGCTGACACGGGGAGAACATGCAAACTCCGCACAGAAGTGCTCCCACACCCGGGATCGAACCGGGAACCCTCTTGCTGTGAGGCGACAGTGCTAACCACCACACCACCGTGCCGCCCATTAGTTTTACATTAGTCTCCCAATTATTTTCTTAATTGACTGTTTAGTTGTCTTGTCTGTAAAATGTCAGCCAACAGTCCAATAATCAAAAATATTCAGTGATGTAAAACAGAGAGAAGAGGGGCAAGTTTGCTGGAAAAATGACTCTAACAATTAACTGATTGTCAAAATAGTCACTCATTGATTTTTTTTTTGTGGATTGGCTAATCGATTAATCACCTAATCCTTTTAGATCGATACCATTGTGATGAATGAAAGAAACGCACAGTGTTATGATTCATATTTAATCCCAATCTCTATGTAGTTGTTTGTTTCTCGGTAACTAAGTACAAAATTAAATTCTTTTTCAGTCTCAGTCTCTTTTAAAATGTTTTTTACTGTTTCACTGATTTCCTTTTTTCCCTCATTTATCTCTGTCTCTGCAGCTCAAATAGAAGTGATACCATGTAAAATCTGTGGGGACAAATCATCAGGGATCCACTATGGTGTCATCACCTGTGAAGGCTGCAAGGTGAGCTATCAACTATCTCCTTTATTATTTGTTAATTATAGTGGGAAAAGTAGTTTAAAGGCATTGTAAGTTTTGGTAATGATCTCCCCAACAAGCATTTAGATGTTCACATTGTTTCACTGATTCCAATTTTGCACGTTTGTCTTTTTTTTTTGTCTGTAGGGTTTCTTCCGACGCAGCCAGCAGAACAATGCTATGTACTCCTGCTCACGACAGAGGAACTGTCTCATTGACCGGACCAACCGTAACCGTTGTCAGCACTGCAGGCTGCAGAAGTGTCTCGCTCTGGGCATGAGCCGCGATGGTGAGTTCAGCCACTCAATCTATATTTAATCAACTCAGTTTCCACTTCATACTTGTCACATTGGATGAGTCATATAATCCTTGTTTGACCTAGACTATACCTTCCTGAGTGTTTAATTTTCGTCTTTACATCCTTCTGTCGCAGCCGTCAAGTTTGGTCGAATGTCCAAAAAGCAGCGTGACAGCCTGTATGCAGAGGTCCAGAAGCACCAGCAGTCCCAGGAGTGTGCAGGGCTTGGTGTCAGAGAGGAGAATAGCGACCTGACTGACCACGGCCGTTCCTACAGAAGAGGCTCCAGCACCGCACTCAGCGACCTGGACGACATCACCACGCTGCCAGAAAGCCTGCTTTTCGATCTGCCGCTGACCCCAGAGGATGGAGGTGGGGAGTACTGTAACCTGGACATGCTGGGCGGCAGTGGAGGCAGCAGTTTGTCCTCTCAGAGCTCACCAGAACAGACCAACTTGGACTTTGTAGACGGCAACCACAGCATCAAGCATGAGTACCAGCTGTTGCACGACTCTGGACTCTTCTCACATGCTATCCTCAACCCGCTGCCCGAGGGCTGCTCCCTGCTTGAGATAGGTCAGTATAAATCCTATGAAGCCTAGCTGCTGAATAATGTCCAGTAGCTTGTTAAATCTATCTCAAAAACAACATTAATCTCATCACAAAACCTTTCCCTCTGTTCAGAGCATATAACTCAGAGTGTGCTGAAGTCCCATATTGAGACGAGCCAGTACAGCACAGAGGAGCTGAAGAGAATGGCGTGGACCTTGTATAGCCCGGAGGAGACACGATCATACCAGACCAAGGTATGCATGCAACATAACCTCATACAACGGGTTGTTACATATCTTATTAAAATGCACATAGAAGGAACACAATGGATTAGTGGGTAGAGCAGGGGTCCCCTATACGAAGGCAAATTTGTAAAGTCACAAAGGTTAGGTTTTTGCAAGTAAAGTTACATAGGTTAGGTTTATAAAAGTAAAAACACCTGTCTCCTGAAGGAAGGTCCTGTGTTTGTTTAACCTATCCACTGCCCCAACCTGCCTTGTTACGCAGACTTTCGCTCTTTATACTACTTCCTTCCTTACTTCTGTCAGCGCATTGGTGACATGATCACAGCCTTCCCAGTTATGTGGGTTATACTCAGAATTACTGGCTCATGATTACGTGGTTAAGTAGGAAAGGCCTGACATATGACACATTATTGTACTGCAAGTAAATGACATTTATACACAACTGTTCTGTACAGTCTAAATGTAAAGTTACACATTAGTCACAGTTTCACATCGTTATAGTTTGCCCATCCTGCTGTGTTCTTCTCTTGTACAAAGTTCACAAAGGGACGTTTTCAGGTTTTTAACCTTGCACAAAAATCAACTGTAAAACTTCTACAAAGAAGTTTCCTAAAACAAATAATAGTGTTCCTTTCTTATCACCCGAGTTGATTCTTACAGTGGCGTTTGCATATCCAAACATTTTTATCACACACCTCAGACTGGGCTTTTTGTCTCACTAGTCAAGGTTGTAGGACATAGTTTTACAGGAGATGCAGCATATTATCAGACAAGCTGTAGGTCAGGACGTCTTTAGGGGTCACTCAACCCACTCAACCAGAGTGTAGATAAGCTCAGAGTTAACAGAGCACAACTTGTATGATGCCTATTATGTATTACGATTCTCATAAAGCCTCCCTGCTTCTGCTTTCTCTTTCAGTCCGCTGAGGTGATGTGGCAACAATGTGCCATTCACATCACCAATGCAATCCAGTATGTGGTAGAGTTCGCCAAGCGCATCTCTGGCTTCATGGACCTCTGTCAGAACGATCAGATTATCCTCCTCAAAGCAGGTCAGAACATGACACCAGCATTCACACTGTGTAGGCTAACGCTATATACTTGGTGTTTCATAACAGTCAGGAGCTGATTTTACAAGATATATGTCCTCAGCAAGACAAGAAGCCTGCAGCATGAATGTTTATTACTTTTAGCTTCATCAAAGACAGCTGTTATATGAACAGTACATTACCCTTGAGTGGGAGATGACTTCACATAGTCCCGATATCACATGCAAGCAGAGTGACGTGAAAAGGCTACTCTGCAGAATGGCTGTCCCTTGTTTTAATCACACTGCCTTCTCAGGTCATCAAGCACACTCATAATTCATGTAGGCCTTCGTGTGATCCGTTTCTTCAGGTGTTAGAAATTTGAAATTGATGTTTGGTTTTCAGTGACAACCAAAAACATAAATCATTCAGAACAACAGGCAAATGGCTTTGAGTGGCAGCCAAGGTATTCTCATTTCACGAGGATGAAACACACATACAAAGGTCTTCTGTTTAGTTGGACAAATTTATCATGGTTAACTGGTGCAACATGTGTCCACGCCCATGCATATACCAAACCTGAGTATCACCTGAAGGGTGAAGAAAGCTAGGTTACAGTATTGTGAATGTAGGTTAACAATAACATTTAAATACAATTCAACAGGAGTAGATTCTTGAATGTATCATCACCATAAGTGTGTCAAGCCTACGACTTATAATCAGCAGTGATAATACAAAAGTCTAAGTGAACCAGTGACTACAAAGCACTCTTGTCAGTGAGGAATGTTTGACTTTATGTAATCATGACGGGGGAGATTTAAAAAGACATTTGTTCAAGAAATATGAGGCCTTCTTCCTAAAACTTGCACAAATTGTAAAACTTTGTCACTTTATCCTCAGACGATTTGATTGTTAAAGATGAAAGATGACAGGCACTTAGTTTCTGTCAGTGTTGCTGCTGAGCACAGCCTAATATACTGTGGATCATTTAGAAAGAGTTTGAGATGTGCAGGCTTGTTTTCCTCTACTCCAACTTGTTCAGCGACTCTAGTCAAGACAGCTGCCTCGGTGTGTTGGTGCATTCTGTTTTGTATGTTAACAGTCACATTAGCATCCTTCTATATGTGTCATATTAACACATTTTTTGGACTATATGTCTGTACGTTGCACATCCTACTATACTTCTGCGGGTTCTCCGGCTTCCTCCCACAGCCCAAAGACATGCATGTTAGGTTAATTGGTGACTCTAAATTGGCTGTAGGTGTGAATGGTTGTCTGTCTCTATGTGTTAGCTCTGCATAGTCTGGCGGCCTGTCCAGGCTGTACCCCGCCTCTCGCCCAATGTCAGCTGGCATAGGCTCCAGCACCCACGTGCCCCCTAACAGGATACGCAGTTATGGAAAATGAATTAATTTACATTTATATTATGCACCAATACACCAATGCAAATTCCTTGTGTGTGAAAACCTACTTGGCAATAAACTGGATTCTGATTCTTAGCTATTTAGATATGTATGTGCCACTAATGTTATGTCTGGATTTTTCTTCTGTGTTTCCACAGGCTGCATGGATGTTCTTCTGATCCGCATGTGTCGGGCCTACAACCCCATTAATAATACATTGCTCTTTGATGGAAAGTTTGCGACTGCTCATCTTTTCAAAGCTCTCGGTGAGTCAACACTGTCTCTCTCTATTACTATCTCTGCCTCTGATCAACTTTTTATGTGTTACATCTGTGTCACATCATCGCAGTGAGTCGGCTCTGTTTTGATGATGACTTTACTTTTCTTTCTTTTCTTCCTTTAAGGCTGTGACGACCTTGTGAATGCAGTGTTTGACTTGGCTAAAAGCCTGAGCCGTATACAGATGTCCGAAGAAGAGATGGCTCTCTTCAGTGCTGCTGTGCTGCTCTCACCAGGTAAGATTATTTTTCTTTAACTGAATGGATTTATGATCACTATTGTATTACTATAACCAAGAGAGGCCACTGTTCAGCAGTTCGTACATTTGATCCGTAAAAAGCTCGTGACCTGTGATGCTGTTTGAAGACAGTAAACAGAAATGTTTACCAGCACTGTGAAAAGTTGCTGCACAAGTTTAACACACCGACTTAATCAATATAGTTGACGCCAGTGGATACAAAAGTTAATTAAAAATGATTGTATGTTGTGAGTTCTATGTTTACCGGCTGCAGACCAGTGGCAAACTAAAGCTTAGAGTCAACATATCTTTATCTTACGTAACATAACAACAAAGTGTGACCTCTTTAAGTATTACAAAATATCATTCCTGCACGCTCACATTGTTTATTTTCAGTATTTTGTCACTATTTAACAAATATTATTTACTTTATGTTGAAATGACAGGATAATTATTAATTATAGATTAAAGACTTTTGTGACAAGTGGAATTTTACTCCTATTATAACCAATCTTTGCTTGTGACCTTAACCTGTTTTCTTAGTAGTCTACATTATTCAGATTGCATTATCCATCCATAGACATAAAAAAGACATTTTCAAATAGTAAAATAAAGTGTCTTCACATCATAAATTAATCAGCAACACTGCACCCATGGTAACTTATTACCAGCACCAACAGGATTTCGACTTACCAGTGTGAATCTCCTTAATTGTACCCATACTTTTGCACACAAAGGCTGCAAAGTTTGTGTATCTGACTTTACTGATGGTCATTTTTCAAAGGATTACATGTTTTTTTGACATTCCTACTTTGCATCCAGCTATTGACTATGAAAATCAGCTCACACAGAGTTGAAACAACAAGCCTGTCACTGTAATGGCAGCCTGCTGTTAAATCTTGGATGCTGAAGAGTCCTAAGAGTCCCTGCTGACACCTGCATTACCATGCAATATTAATATAACTGACATTTAAAAAAGTCATTACGACAGATCAGTTATCTCAGACAAGTTTCATGTCTCTGCAAACTGTTGTTATTGTGTTGCGCAGCCAGCAGCTGTCTTGAGGAAAATCAATTCAAAAGTTATGATGTGCTCTGAAAAATGAGCAGCAGTTATGTAATATAAGAGCACTTAAAGTTAATCTGCACGACACAGCGCATGTAATGCTCGGTGCATTTTGTGTTCTTCCTCTAGGTATTTGTGCACCGTAAACCCTCACCAGGTGCAGTTTTAAATTGGCAGCATGACAACAGTAATGAAACCATCTTGTCAATCTCATTTCCCTCAGACCGACCCTGGCTGACAGATGTTCAGAAGATACAGAAGTTGCAGGAGAAAGTCTACGTTGCTCTGCAGCGCTGCCTACAAAAAGAGGGAGCATCAGATGAGAAGCTAGCTAAGGTACAGAGCCTGCTGTGTTACTGCATCAAAAACTGACATGACGCTTTGTTCTCCTTCTTTTTAATAAGATGTTTAATTTGTATTTTCTTCTTTCTCCTTTTCTGTATCTCCCTTCTAGATGGTTTCTAAGCTTCCCATCATGAAGTCCATTTGCAACCTACACATCGACAAACTGGAGTTTTTCCGCCTAGTCCACCCTGAGACAGCGTATACCTTTCCCCCTCTGTATAGGGAGGTTTTTGGCAGTGAAATCACCTTCCCAGACTCCACAGAGGGCTAGTTCCGTTTAGCTTAATAGCGGGATTCAAATAGAGACATTGAGGTGGTGGGAGGGGGGAGATAAAAATGTGGCAACCAGCTGAGGCAAGACCAACCAGCAGCTCAATGACAATCCTGCACGCTACACTTTAGGACACACTCCTCTCACCTACGAGCTCCCTGTGGAGTAGCTCACACCGCCCTGCCAGCCAGTCCATTCAGCTCCAGTGTAACACTACAGCAACTGCTGCAGGGTACTCAGTGCATGTTACCTCTTTTTTTAGGGACTTACTAAAGAGTAGCCTACATCATTTGTATTCTCAAAAATGTTTTTCTATGAAAAGACCTGTGACCTTTCATCAAGCTGACTTTTACTTTGACCGTTCTCACAGTACCTGTAAGCTATTTTTGAATGTACCCCCTTTTTCCCTTTACCGTTCAGCACAGCCCTAGGCTTGATGTAGAATGTACATACTTAAAATCCTCACCTACTTTGTGGAGGTTTGCAGTAACGATGCCTGTGTCACTTCTCAGTCCGGTCTTGGTTTATTGTTTCATTCAATATTTTGGTAGCGCCCATATTTTGCAGTTTTGTAACGTATGAACAAACTGTTTAAAGGGACCACGATCAAAGTCACAAACAGACAGGGTTTTTTAAACTGTGTGAATTGAGGGCAAGCACTCAGAGTGTCTGCCCAGCGCGCACCTGCAGACTCTTGCACACAGAGCAAAAAACATAGCACTTACGCTGATCTTTTTAGGTATTTTTACTAGCACACCCACAGACACTGATGTAAGTGAGCTCTTTACTTTTTTTTAATACAATCAGTGACCTCAGCCCTTATACCTTTTTCCCTTTGAAAATGCCACTTAGAGAGTGAGAGAATCAGAGGTATTTTGAAAGTATTTTCAGATGCTCCTTTTACATATATATATATATATATATATATATATATATATGATAACACCTATATAATTGTGTAAGATAAAAGCTGTTGTGAATTCATCCCGAGTGAGGGGGAGAGGGATGTGTTTGTGCTCAGGTCACTCAAACAGATACTGCCTGCCCAAACGTTGGGGTTCTGGGATGGAAAGATTGCTGAAAAGCAAATCTAATGGATGATTAGCACTTATGAGACCTTGTTAAAATCCAAAATGAACTCTCGGCACAAGATTTTACGGGTTCGCACTTAGACTGCCATCTGTGAAACTTATGTTAAAACCAGTCAGAGATGCTAGATACACCCTCCCATTGTAGAAACGCTGTGTGAACGAGGTGCTGGGCAGCCGGCCACTGTGGGGCGTGGAACTGTCACACCTCAGCCCCCCTCCACAGAAGAGTGCCATTGCCCAAAACCTCCAGCACCGTCTCAACCAGCAGGTTCGGAAAAACTTTGGGAGCAAAGAAAGAAATGTGACATTTTACCACATTTCCATGGACATGTTTGGATAAGGGGCAGAGAATGGACATGGTGTTATTTAAGTTCCTTAGACATTGGTTAGTGGCGTCAACTGTCTGCGCCAACTTTCACTACTTCTTGAGGCGGACTGCGCTATTGCAGGAAGCCATGGTGTTTTGATCTGAAAATTAGATCCTCTGTTCCTCTTCCCCAACTCCCTTACTACCTCACCCTCTTCAAACACTACATGGCACAGCAAAGGGTTGACAGAGCCATCAGCTACCCCCCTGAGTTAGTATTTCTGCATACATACTGAAGAGCTTCTTCAAAAATGTAACAATTAGTGGTGTAATTTGAAGGCTGACTAAAAACTATGGTAAAATTTGTTATTGCGCTCTTAAAACTGGACAGGAGACAAAGAGCAAACTGAACTGCTGGATCTACTTATGCTGAGGATCTCTGACTGCTTTTCTGTCATTTGAGAGCAGTTCATGCCTTCAGGTCCAGGAAGCCCTACTTAGATACAGATCTATCTGAAGTAAAGTCTCCGGAGACACAGGGTGTGTCCAGATGAAACCTTTTTTCCCCAGAGTTGGAGGACATATTAGATTTCTGCCAGTGTCCTGATGAAGCTACTAGAAAAGAATAGATGTAACTGATGCTGTTTTTAACTGTTAAAAGCATTTTAAGACAATCACATGACACATGTTGGATGTCTAGCTCTAAGCTGTCAGCCAGGTTTGCTTTGCACTGCTGGGACAGTGCTGTTCGCCATACATTATCTTGCAGTATGAAGGGGTATATTACCCTCTTCTGGGTACGTAAGACAGTGGCATGGTGGGATTGTGCAATAATGTCTCTCCCATTGTTCTCAGTATGTTGGGCCTTTGTTGCCATGTATTACAGTTACTACTTTCAGAAGCACTCCAGCTCAGTTAAAGGTCCAATGTGTAGGATTTCGGGGGGATATATTGGCAGAAATGGAAGCTAATATAATAAGTATGTTTTGCTTCGTGTACAGTCACCTAACAAATAAGAATGATCGCGGTTTTGTTACATTAGAATGAACTGTTTATGTCTGCATGGCTAGTTCTTATCCACTATCCACTCTGCTATGTTGCACCGCCGGGTTTCAACAGTAGCCCCTGGCTTTAGATAGCGCTATTCATGATTACGCTTAGCCCCTCAGCATTGGAAGAACACTTATTTCTTCGTACCTAAAACTGCTTAATTTACTGTTTTTACCAGTTTAATCATCGGGTCAATTTGTTTTGAAGAGGAGGAGACCTCTTAGGATTATTTGGCTCCGGGTAAAAACCTCCTTAAAGTCTGGATCTTAAGTTATCCAAGAAAAAAGGTTAGCACATATTATCAGGTGCAAGCAGCCCATCTCAGACGAACCAAACGGTGTCAGAGAAACATTGATTTGTAAAGTTAAACTGCCTTCTTCCATAGTTTTACCAATTTGAATAACCACTTCGATTTGTTTTTGAGAGGAAGAGACCTCTGCAGATAATTTAGCGCCCGGAAAAAACTCCTGAACGTCTGTTCTCTTAGCAGGTGCTTGTCGCAGACAGGCCAAGCAGCATCAGAGAAACACAAATTTGTAAAGTGAAACTGCTTTATTCAGTTTTATTACCGGTTTTAATCACCTGATCCATTTGTTTTGGAGAGGAAGAGACCGCTACGAGACCGAATTCGGCTCCCGCGAAAACCTCCCAAATAAAGAACTCTGAAGGAATTCTTATCATTTCAGCTGGTTGCAATGTGCAATCCTCACCACTAGATGCCACTAAATCCCCCTTAATCTTACACACTGTTGCTTTAATCTCGCAGCACTACAGATAACCATCTATAATATAATGTACCAAATACACAGCCAACCACTACACAGGTCAGCTCTCAGCTGACGCAGCCAGATGACACTTACAGATTGTAACAAAGTGCAATACTTTGTGTGTGGAGAATGTTAGACATGCTGATTTGAAAAGATTCAGTATACAGGCCTAAAAGCTGTCCAGACGGCAGCACTTTGGATCTGCACTTACATTTCCGTTTAGAGTTACTCAGGGAGATAGCTGGGCTCTCTGTCCTACAGTGTCTGCAGTCAGTCTAGCTAGCAAGACACCTTGCACCAACATAGAAGACCTTAAAACCTTGATCACTGTGTACAGTACATGTTCTTGTGAATGTTTGATTTCAGAAGTATCAAAGATTTTACCCCTGTCTAATATCATTATTGCAAGACTTTTTATTCTTTGAGTTTGAGTCATAGATGAAATAGGACATTAAAAAAGTAAATATAGTAAAAAAATAAATAAATATAAAAGATGGATTATAATCTCTGAATCTTGTGTTGGTTTTGTTGTGATCTTTTGTTTCTTAATTTTTATCCCTTTGTGTACTGTTTTTTTTTTCTCATCAGTTTAGTGTCCTTTTTGTCTTGGAGAGATGTAATTCTATTTTTTTAAAGAGCGTTTTTAAAGATGTCTCCCTAAAAGTTTCTCTTTTGTCATGATCCTCTCTGTTTATGAAATGTTCACTCTATTTTAAGATTATTATTATTAAATCAATATAGATTTTAATAAGAAATAATTTATGATATGTTATGGATATAAAGCCCAAGAGGTTTTAACACAGTAAAGTGTTATTGCACAATGGTGATACAATATGTGGATTTAAGAATGTAATAAACGTCTTTTTACAATTAAAAGAAAAACTTGTTGTGGTTTTACTTTATGTTTTATAATTCTGCATCTGTTTATTGGTTTGGTTAACCTTTCTGTACATTTGAGGCATTTCTTATTTGGTCAGACAAAATGTTTGAGGGAAAAAAAATTAAGGGTAATGATACATCAAAGATAAAGGGCAATTTAAAAAAGACAAATATGACATTGTATTTTCTGACATCTCTTACATCATGACATGACTCAGCTTTTGTCACTGCAGTCCATATTCATAAAAGCAGAGTTATGGATGGTGCGTTGTTACCACCATGTGGTAGGTAACAGCTGTTTAGAGACCCAACTGCATACTTGAGTAAGCATATATATATTTTTTATTAAGACAAATAACAAAAACAACATATAGCAATACACAGCATGGTACACATATACAGTCAGGTCCATAATTATTTGGACAATGATACAGTTGTCGTCATTTTGGCTCTGTACACCACCACAATGGGTTTTAAATGAAACAATGAATACCTGCTTAAAGTGCAGACTCTCAGCTTTCATTTAAGGCTTTTTTCAAAAATGTAGTATGAACCGTGTAGGAATTACAACCATTTCTTCACACAGTCCCCCGACTTTAAGGGCTCATAAGTATTTGGACAAACTAACATAATCATCAATTAAACAGTCAGTTTTAATACTTGGTTGCAAATCCTTTACAGTCAATGACTGCCTGAAGTGTTGGGCACATAGGCATCATCAGATGCTGGGATTCTTCCCTGGTGATGCTCTGCCAGCCCTTTACTGCAGCCGTCTGCACTTCCTGCTTGTGTTTTGGGTGTTTTGCCCTCAGTTTTGGCTTCAGCAAGAGAAATGCATGCTCAGTTGGATTCAGGTCAGATGATATGACTTGGCCATTGCAAAACATTCCACTTCTTTGCCTTAAAAATGTCTTTGGTTGCTTTTGCAATATGCTTCAGGTCAATGTCCAACTGCACTGTGAAGCATCGTCCAATGAGTTTTGAAGCATTTGGTTGAATCTGAGCAGATAATGTAGCCCCAAACACTTCAGCTTTCATCCTGCTGCTCTTGTCAGCAAGACAAGACTTCACTAGAATAAATACAGAGGGTTTATCACAAGATGCAAACCACTGGTTAGCCTTAAAAATGGATGGCCAGATTAGAGTTTGTCAAAAACCATCTAAAAAGCCTGTACAGTTGTGGAACAGCATACTATGGACAGATAAAACAAAGATCAACTACCAGAATGATGGGAAGACAAGAGAAGGAAGAAGGGAAGGAACTGCTCATGATCCAAAGCACACCACCTCATCAGTGAAGCATGGTGGAGGTACTGTTATGTCATGGCCATGTATGGCTGCCAGTGGAACTGGTTCTCTTGTATTTATTGATGATGTGACTGCTGACAAGAGCAGCAGGATGAAAGCTGAAGTGTTTGGGGCTACATTATCTGCTCAGATTCAACCAAATGCTTCAAAACTCATTGGACGATGCTTCACAGTGCAGTTGGACAATGACCTGAAGCATACTGCAAAAGCAACCAAAGACATTTTTAAGGCAAAGAAGTGGAATGTTGTGCAATGGCCAAGTCATATCATCTGACCTGAATCCAACTGAGCATGCATTTCTCTTGCTGAAGCCAAAACTGAGGGCAAAACACCCAAAACACAAGCAGGAAGTGCAGACGGCTGCAGTAAAGGGCTGGCAGAGCATCACCAGGGAAGAAACCCAGCATCTGGTGATGCCTATGTGTCCAACACTTCAGGCAGTCATTGACTGTAAAGGATTTGCAACCAAGTATTAAAACTGACTGTTTAATTGATGATTATGTTAGTTTGTCCAAATACTTATGAGCCCTTAAAGTCGGGGGACTGTGTGAAGAAATGGTTGTAATTCCTACACGGTTCATACTACATTTTTGAAAAAAGCCTTAAATGAAAGCTGAGAGTCTGCACTTTAAGCAGGTATTCATTGTTTCATTTAAAACCCATTGTGGTGGTGTACAGAGCCAAAATGACGACAACTGTATCATTGTCCAAATAATTATGGACCTGACTGTACATATCTCAGGGTCATGTAGTCTTGGTGAAGCCTCACTCTGGCCACCAATTCAGACTTGCCACAAGTAACAGCACAAAGTTTAGGAAAATAAAATTATAATATCAATAGTTAGAATAACTGCAATAGTGGTGAAAGGAAATATTCATATAAACATACTGGGTAAGTGATCTGAAACAGTGCTGGCAACAGTTTTCACTGTTCACTGACACCTGTTTATAGCCAGGCCTGTGGATATTCCGGGGAAACCAGTAACCAGAACGAATGAAATTCTGTCCTTTGTTGTAATGGGTTGAGGCAGAGATGGGGTAAGATGTTTATCTCAAAGTCATGTCACATAAATCCAAAAACTATTTGGATGGTTATGCACTGTTAAGGCAGTGAGAAAAGATGGGACACTTTGATGTTTTCAGGTAAGACAGCCAACTGCCCTCAGGGCCCTAAACTCAAGGGGCCCCAGCAGCTCCAGGCTTACTGTGTGTCAAGTGGTTTGTAGTGATTTAATTTAAATGTTGTTTGAGGGTACGAAACACTAAAGTACAATATAAACTGTCATGACAAGGGCCTTAAAATGGCTCCTGAATAGTTTATTACCTACTTTCAAGGTTCTATGGTGAGGAGGGTGTCAGAATATAGTTAGGGTTATGCTTATATGTTGCAAAGGGGAACTGCACCCATTTTCAAAATTCATACATGTTATTCCTATGGTCTAAGACAGTCCTAAAATATAAGTAAACATGAATGACTCTAATTGCAAAACTCTAATTTGTGATGCCACAGGTATGACGTCTGGAGCTGCTACATAGACAATTAATTGGGAAAGATGTTCTAGATCAGAGTTTCCCAACTGGTGGGTCACAGTCCAGAAGGGACCGCAAGTGACTCACAAAGATGTCAAGTTTGTAAAAAAAAAATAAAAAAAATCACTCTTTATTTTTAAGTACAGTGACTGTCTTGCACAGAGTTTTTATTTTGAAGTGCTGTTTCCTGCTGTAGAATAAGCTAATTGACAGAGACAGCAAATTAGCTTGAGTACATGGCCAAACACAAGTATGACACTGAATGTGTTCAACTGTGTGGACCTTGAACTAATGACTAAGGAGAAATTTGGACCCTGTGGCGGGACCAGTTGGGAACCACTGTAGTAGAAGACACTGGAAGCACCCAGGGAGATGATCTGAGTATATGGGTACATTTTCTGTTTCAGACTGAGCACACTACAATAGAATAAATCTAATCTGGGAATAAAGAAGAAAACAAACATTGTGGGTCCACAAAAATCAGACTGCCGTTCATTAACTTGATGAGAATCACAAATTTTAAAGCTGTGGTTCCCAACTGGTCCAGCCACGGGGTCCAGATTTCTCCTCCTGTCGTCAAGCTAGTTTGCTGTCTCTGTCAATTAGCTTATTCTACAGCAGGAAACAGCACTTTAGAATAAATGCTCTGCTGTTTGTTTTTTAACAAAAAATCAAATAAACTTGATAACATTTGCAAGTCACTTACGGTTCATTCAGAATGAATCCGAGACCCAGTTCTGGACCACGACCCACCAGTTGGGAACCACAGTTTACTTCCCTGGTTTCTGGCTTCAAAAGAGAGAGAGTAGCTCATGTTCACAAATATGGATTGAGCTTTCCTCGGCCATAGATATAACATACTTGGATTCTTGGTGGTTATGTTCCCCTTAAAATACATGCTCAAAATTGCTACACAGCTATTCTCCAGTAAGGTAGCATTCCAGTATAGAAAAAACTGCACAGGCTGCACAGTGAGTTGAAGGAAAGGGGTTATTATAGGGGCCCAGCTGCTTATGTTTTGCCCTGGGGCACTGTAGCAAATCAATCCAGCTGTGTTTCAAGCCATCATATATGTATAATAATGTAATTTAATGTACTTCTGCAAATTAGGAAAACTTAATCTAAATCTGCCTTTGTGTATTCAGACATATAAAAGCTGCAAACAGGGTATATTGCCTGAGGATGGGAACATCTGGCTTGTAAATCCTGCAACAGACAGACGGGTGTGTACCTGCTGCATCCAGCAGGGGGCGGTGTGCGCTAAGATAAGCCTCCATACTGGTCTACTATCTAAACTGGCAAATTGATTTCTCCAAAGTGGCTGGTGCAGATTTGGTGCTCCGTTTACCGTAAAGCCCGCGCCCTAGATTGTGTCTGCTTGCTTCAGTAGTTTGGGGAATAATATTTGGGCGGATTTAGCACACTTCGCTCCGTTATCTGCTGTGACAGTGGGATTCATCAGCCTCGACGTGGACGTGGTCAGTTGGCGTGTCCCGACTTGGAGTGACGGCTGTGCAGTCCTATGATTCCTCCTAAACATTTCTGCGCTGGCCCCTTTTCTAACAAACTGTATCGCTAACTTTAGTTATATCGTGACCTATTTAACACCTTCGTTGGAAGTTGACGACGGCCGGGGTTCAAGATGTCGGTAGCGGGCTTGAAGAAGCAGTTTTATAAAGCCAGCCAGGTTTGCAAAACTTTTCTTTCTAGCTAGCAACTGTCATGTAGCAGCTAGCCTCATGTAGCATTGTTAGCTAGCGGTTTATAGTTGGCTAATGTTAATAACGCTTTGTGAATGTGGCCGTAAGTATGTGGACTGGGTAGAGGTTTGAAATGCTTTGTGTCAGTGTGGAAAATGTCACGGTTATTTTTAGTCGGCACTTTGTGTTCTTTTATAGCTAACGTTAAAGTTAAGGAGCATCTCTCGAACATGTTTCTGCATTAACGCTAGTTAAACTAACGTTAACTAACTTAAGCTAACTAACTTAAGCTAATGCTAACTGGCGTTATTGTGCCGTTGGTGGTTTACATGTAGGTTAGTTTACATTTTATGTGGTTTTTTTTTTTCAATTCAGATTCAGAAAGTACACATCCTGTGGTAAACATTAGCTCTGTTTGCCTAAGGGACTCTCCGGGTGACTCATAGCTTTTTAGACTAAAAAACA